TTCCAAGAAGACAGGAACCTAGGATTATTCCTGTAGCCATCAGTTGTTTCGGTCTATCTGTAAAAGATTCAAAAGTTAGATTCTTGATATGTTCTTCAAATCTATTACAATCTGATATGACAAAATAGAGGTATCAGAGTTTTGGCCAATGGCCAGGGATGTAAAATTTTAAACTAGATGTTTGTCTCAGAATCAAAAGAAAAAGCATTTAAAGCAACAGAACAAGTAAAGGCTAGAAAATTAAAGGAAGACAAATGAACTCAGAGAGCATTGATGGCATTCATAACATTTGGAATTGTTAGAACTTAAAACCATACCTCTTTGTTTCTTGGATCTACCATAACACTCTGTCTCGTCCTCTGTAGTACTATTATTTTTCTTCAGTTTGCATTTCCTGCCTTCCTCTTCACATATGGTACAGTTTGGTTTGGACCAACTCAACTGAACATCCTTCCTCCGGTTATACAACATACCTTCAAACCCTTCTGTTACCGAAATATTTAATAACGTTCTGGTGCAATTTAACAAACTAACAGCACCATAATCGGAAGGCAAAGCTAGAACTTGGAATCCTTGGATGCTTAAGCAAGGAATTGTGTGATATTCATCTCTATCTGGCATTTGTCCTTTGCCTGAACAATTGAAAATAGTGTATTCTTGAGGTTGCATTTGAGGGCTGAATGGAGAGCTGTACTCCAGGAAGAGAGATGCAGATAAATTATTGGAAAGTTGCCGCGCGAGGCATCCCTGGGGATCGTATAACTGAATCCTCCGTGCTCTGTAATCTATACGCTTTACGAAAAACGTCACATTCCGCGGCAGCTCTAGTACAGTTTGCTTTTTGTCCATGCAGGACAGTTCAAATCCAGGATAGCTGCACTTTTCCGGCTGTTGCTGCCCCTTAAGTTGGAATGGGAATCGGATGGTATGGTGATTGCACTTTGTGGGTTGGCATTCATCTCTGGCAGCATGGAGCTCTGTAACCCCCACCACCAAGATAAAGCAAAAAAGCAAAAGAATCATCCTGAAGAAACTTCCCATCCCTGAAGTCTTTGAATCCAAGATTCAGTGTGATTTAGGATACAATTATCAGAACGGGAGAAGAAGCTGTGTACCTTATACAATGAGCATTAGGTTTTGGAAGGTGCAGGGAGGATTCGCGGACTTTTGATTTTTCAAAGTAGGAATTCCTTTGTCATTAATTCTTCTCTGAAATTTCTGCTATGGCACAAATATTCGCCACTTTGCCCCAGGATTGGCGCGTGGGTTGTGGGGTTGGAGCCCCACCCCACACCTGTAAAATCGTCCCTCCCCTTCCCCCAATTACTGTAGTTCCATTAAAAACCTAAACCGTGTAGACTGTGGGGTAGACGCGCGGCAACTTGATGGAAACTACTTCAGAGCTTCTATTTAGAAATTTAACCGTGTTGTGTGGTTCCAGTTGATTATTGGCCCGCTAAATTAAGTTTCATGGAAGCTGCAATGTGAAGAAAATTCTAGGCTTCCTTTTTCCGTTGAGGTTAAAACGACATGTTAGGTGCATCTACTATTCCAATCCTCTTTAAAATCAAAATCAGCCGAAGCAGCGGAGCACTGTGCAGCAACTGGAAGGCTTCTTTATGTAGTCATCCCATCAGTTTAGGCGATATGGATTCTAGGTGTTTGCTTTATTGCCTTTGAGAGCCACCTACTTTGCCCTGGGTGCTATCTTCTTCTTCTGCTTTTTTTGTGGGGGACCTAATTGGGTCGTATCTGTTATCATCAGAGTTTTTCCTATATTATATCCTAAGAAAACCTCATGCTCTAATACTCTAGCTTAGGATGTTAGTTAAACCAAAAATTGTGGCACTCTTCGGCCTCATGGCCCTTGCTGTGTCTCTTTTTCCTGATACTTGTATGGCTGATTGCGCCACTTCTTCCTGTGGAAACCTTCCTATAAAATCCCCTTTCCGATTACACAGTGATCCTAAGGGGTGTAGTTCACCGGAGTATGAGCTAGTTTGCGAGAACAATCGCACCACTTTGCCTCTCAAACTTGGTGCATACCAAAATTTCTTAGTGGAGGAAATCTCTTATGATAAGTACACAGTTCGACTGGTGGATGCCAGTCTCGATAGGAATAAATGTTCCATTCCTTACTACCCTTTTCTTAAATTTCAATGTTGGCCGTATCAGAATGGGCCTTCATTTAGGAATATAACTGGGAATAGCATTATGTATGTTCTGAGTTGCAATATGCCGATTAGCTCACCACTCTATGTGGATGCCTCTAATTGCACCAATAGCCCTTCCTCTCCGCACACCTACTTTTTTCTTTTCAATAACCAAGCAAAGCTTTCGGATTTCAATGAATCATGCAGAATTGAAGCTCAGTTTCCGGTCATGCTATCCAATATCTCAGGCCTCTCTGCGTCGGATATTTACTTTCAAATGCTTATGGGTTTTGAACTGAATTATTGGGTTTGGATCGACTACAATAGCCCGGAGTACTGCACTTCGTTCAGTTTGCTTGACAAGATGTAAGTATTCAAGAACTTTTGAATATCTTTACCATGCACTAAGGGATACCACTGTGTGTAGTTAGTAAATCTTAATCTTTATTTTTACTGAAGTACACTTTTAATCAAACTCTATTTAGGATACATAACATAACTTTGGGCACAGGGAAAATGAGAAAAATGTCAAAAAAGTCTAATGACAAATGGACTAAATTTTAATAAAGTCATGATCTATTGACGGATCACCTAAGTCTGCATTGATTAAGTGTGGGATATAAAATATAGTTACTACATATTTTAAAATTGGGGTACCTTTGATTTATTTACACAAGGAGCAAAAAAATCCACTTTAATTAGAAGAGCATTTTGCTATTTTTCTATAATTAAAGACGAAAGAGTAATCAGCTAGATATGTTTCTTCCATTATTTCTTATGATCTTCTTAAAAAAAATGTTCCTCAATCATTGTCCAATTTTTACCATATCAAGACAAACATTAGGAGCCAGATAAACAGGAACAAATTCTGCTTTTCAATTTTGGATCAACACTTTATTCATCAACCAGATCAAGTGAAGCATAGAAAAATATTATTAATGAAGTATAGGCTTTTATTTTTTTACGTTTCTCCTACAGTCTATTTCCCTCTAAATTCATCCAAATAATACCTTAACAAACCTTCGAACCCACAAAACAACAAACCATAAATATCCTGGAAAATTAAACATGGCCATTGTAACATGTTTCATTCTTTATTTCAACGCCACAGGTTTATACTGTCAAAGTTGAAAATTTCATCTCGGACAGCATTGAAAACCAAAATATATAACACCAGGACAAAACTACTTCAGACTTCAAATTTTATTGCAAGCTATCAAATCCCATGAAATTCCATACACTCCCTAATACTCATTCATACATCAAAAACCAATAATCTAGTACATTAACATAGTTTCAACAACCCAATAAAATAATCTCGGAATGATAATAATCTCACAAAATAATCCTAGAACTCAAAAATCACAATGCAATTCCCAAATTTGCTTCATGGTCTAGTCACGGTTTTATTTACAAGAAAAAAAAAACTATGAAATAGCAATATATCAAACGATTCACAAGAAAATTATATTAGAACAGAAAAGAAGATCATGAGAGGAAGAAATAGGCTTGAGTCTGATTTTCCGTGAGGAAAATATCAAACTTTCATGCCCTCTTCCAAACACAAAAACTAATAATTCAAAGAGAACTCACCTGTTAAATAAAAATCTGAAATTTTATTCCAAAGAAATAATTGTTCTGTACAAGCTCTATCACTCTCTG